ATCTATCAGATTAATACAGTGAGGCGCTGTACTCGCTCTGAGTCACAGAAATAAAAATGAACCTTTTTCCAGAGTCACTGCAAAAAACTCTAAAATATGAAGTAATAAATGTTTGAATCTAGTGTTTTTTAATCTTAATCTTACTCATTCTGACTGTGTTTAAACAAGATTCTCCATTTAGGCATTTAGTTTTATTTCAAGATCTGTTGCTGTATTTTCTCATTCCACGGGAGACTTTTCTGTGTCTTTCTAAAACAACTAGATTTTCCAAAGAGACAAACCAGAATAATCTTAAAACTCAGAATGTGCTCAGATTAAGACACTTTTTGACGTATTTTCCATCACTTTTTGCAGAGTATGAAGTAAAAACAGTCCCTTTAAAGTGTGTGTAATGATGGATCTCTGTGATTCCGAGGACAGGCCACATGTGCCCTTTGTGCTGAGCCCGAGCGGAGATGGCGCTGATTCACGGATCTCCGCCGGGATCTGAATGTGTGGCTGCGTCTGTGATGTCACACGTCTCCAATGAAAGAGTCTGAGGTGACTCACCGAATTGAGCTGCCAAAGACTGACCAACAGATTATTTATAGCAAAAAGTCTCTTGTCCGACCTGGCACATTTATGAAAATACATCAGTTTTTTAAATACAGCGCTTAGGTTCAAATAAATAAATAAAAAACCTAAATCAAGTGATTTATCAGAATCAGAATCATTTTTATTGCCACGTCAGTAACAGACTTGGAAATGGCTTTGGCTCAGTGCAACCGTCAGAGAGAGGTGTCCAAACATTTTAGAAAGAGGATCAGTTTAGTTCAGTAGACTAGTCCAGTCCAAGTCAATGCATGAATTCTAGACATATGGGTTTTAGAACAGGGCCTTTCTGGGCTGAGCTGAAGTCGGATGGATGACACAGTAAACTTGTGTTTTTGACGGGCAAACTGCGGCCCTTAGTGTCATCACACACAACAAGTCAACAAGTTCACTGTGTCATCCATCCAACTTCAGCTCAATATAGCCCTTGTTCCAAAGCCCGGTACGTTGGTGACTTTATTTCCTCATACTTTACTGACGTGGTTTTTGAGTCACTTCTGTTGATGTTGCTAATGCTAATGTCGCTGGTGAGATTTAAACATGTGTCATTCAGCCAACTTCAGCTTTGTTATAGTTCATCATAAAGCTCAGAACAGCCCGATGTCAGTCAAGACAGTTTTTCAGTCGGTGTTGTCAGACCCTGGACTAGTCTGCTGAACTAAAGTGGCTCTTACTAAATTGTTTGGACACCCCTGGTCTATGATCTAAAGACTCCTTTGGGTTATTAAGGCAGAGGGCCACATAAATGACTCTGAGGGCCGCAAATGACCCCCGGGCCTGAGTTTGGACAGGCCTGATTCATGTTATAAATGTTAGAAAACAAAAAATAAATGTCTGTCTTGCAGGAGTGAACGTAAAGGGTTAAAGTGTCGTGTTTAACCCGGACGTCACATTTCTCTTTGATGTCGATGATACTTTGTTGTTTATTTAAATTGCACAGCAGCAAATCCACACGGCTTTGATTTCACTTCACGCGTCGATAAAAAGTGACTCATCAGAATCATACGTATTTGTAAAGAAATCACACAAAGGCCAATTCCATCCCGAGCCAATCACAGATGGCTTTGAATGTGTCCGGTTTTAGTTTTTAAACATTATATTATGATTTTATGGATAAGATTAAGCTTTTATTTGTCCCTCGGTGGAAATGTCACAGTTGCACTTTACAGCAGAAAATAAGTACCATATTCTCCGGACCTTCTCGAGGGCGTGTGTGTTATGAGTCCGGTCCAGTTTATGGATCAGATGAACACCCAGGTACTTTAAGAATCCACTCTCTCAGTTTATTAGTTAACTACAGGATGTAATCACTTTTTTCTACTCTGTAAAAAAATTATCATCTCTGAATCAAATGTGGATCTAAAAATATGAAACAAACTTCAGCTCATTCAAAGGATCAGGTCCGAGACTCACAGAGACAGTTACTACAGAACATGTGACTAATATATATGTATATTTCAACAACTACGAATGGACAGAGGAGGTATTTGGATACATGAAAAACATAATATCTATAATCTAACTTTTGGCCTTTTGTCAAACTTTACCCTTTAGCCTGAACAAGCCCCAGACTGTCTCTCTTGAATCACATTTGAAGTTGTTTTGATCCAGTGTGTTATTTTTTTGACCATTTGCTTTGTTCTTTTGGCATCAATCTAGTTTCAGGCTCAGATTATGATGCTTTTTGCTAATTTTGAGCCATTTCTGACTGGTTTACCATCTCTTTTTGCAGTGTATACACAGATGAAATGCGTGCCGTGGTGTGGTCGTACCTCCATGGAGAAGCGCCTCTGCTGGACCTTGCTGTGGTACTGCAGCTGGGAGGGGGAGTGGGCGCTGGGCGTGGTGGGCTCTGGACTCACCGGACTGGCATCGTACGAGGCTGAACCCAGACGCTCCGGTGTCAGGCCTGCAACAGAACACAACCTTTACCAGTGCCACAGAGGGGGAAATGCCTGTGTTGCAGCGCACTAACAGGAGAGAGGGAGGGAGTACGGAGACACATGGGACACAAATATACACTGAAAAGTAGATGGTTAAAGTTGGCTTCAGGGATCGATGTATAGGCCTCTGATACACTCCCAACCAACCGACCTACCTCCCTACCAACCAATCTACCTCCCAACCAACCGACCTACCTACCAACCAACCGACCTACCTCCCAACCAACCAATCTACCTCCCAACAGACCGACCTACCTCCCTACCAACCAATCTACCTCCCAACCAACCGACCTACCTACCAACCAACCGACCTACCTCCCAACCAACCGACCTACCTCCCAACCAACCAATCTACCTCCCTACCAACCAATCTACCTCCCAACCAACCGACCTACCTACCAACCAACCGACCTACCTCCCAACCAACCGACCTACCTCCCAATCTACCTCCCTACCAACCAATCTACCTCCCAACCAACCGACCTACCTACCAACCAACCGATCTACCTCCCTACCATCCAATCTACCTCCCTACCATCCAATCTACCTCCCTACCAACCAATCTACCTCCCAACCAACCAATCTACCTCCCAACCGACCAATCTACCTCCCTACCAACCGACCTACCTCCCAACCAACCAATCTACCTCCCAACCAACCAATCTACCTCCCAACCAACCAATCTACCTCCCAACCAACCAATCTACCTCCCAACCGACCAATCTACCTCCCTACCAACCGACCTACCTCCCAACCAACCGACCTACCTACCAACCAACCGACCTACCTCCCAACCAACCAATCTACCTCCCTACCAACCGACCAATCTACCTCCCTACCAACCAATCTACCTCCCAACCAACCAATCTACCTCCCTACCAACCAATCTACCTCCCAACCAACCAATCTACCTCCCTACCAACCGACCTACCTCCCAACCAACCAATCTACCTCCCAACCAACCAATCTACCTCCCTACCAATCGACCTACCTCCCAACCGACCAATCTACCTCCCAACCGACCAATCTACCTCCCTACCAACCGACCTACCTCCCAACCAACCGACCTACCTCCCTACCAACCGATCTACCTCCCAACCAACCAATCTACCTCCCTACCAACCGACCAATCTACCTCCCTACCAACCATCTACCTCCCTACCAACCAATCTACCTCCCTACCAACCGACCTACCTCCCTACCAACCAATCTACCTCCCTACCAACCAATCTACCTCCCAACCAACCAATCTACCTCCCAACCAACCAATCTACCTCCCTACCAACCGACCTACCTCTCTACCAACCGACCTACCTCCCTACCAACCGATCTACCTCCCAACCAACCAATCTACCTCCCTACCAATCTACCTCCCTACCAACCAATCTACCTCCCTACCAACCGACCTACCTCCCTACCAACCGACCTACCTCCCTACCAACCAATCTACCTCCCAACCAACCGACCTACCTCCCAACCAACCGACCTACCTCCCAACCAACCAATCTACCTCCAAACCGACTAATCTACCTCCCTACCAATCGACCTACCTCCCAACCGACCAATCTACCTCCCTACCAACCGACCTACCTCCCAACCAACCGACCTACCTACCAACCAACCGACCTACCTCCCTACCAACCGATCTACCTCCCAACCAACCAATCTACCTCCCAACCAACCAATCTACCTCCCAACCAACCAATCTACCTCCCTACCAACCGACCTACCTCCCTACCAACCGACCTACCTCCCTACCAACCAATCTACCTCCCTACCAACCGACCTACCAACCGACCTACCTCCCTACCAACCAATCTACCTCCCAACCGACCGACCTACCTCCCAACCAAACAATCTACCTCCCTACCGTATATTTGCAGAATATGAGCAGAATCAATAGATAACATGGACATTTTGTAACCGCAGTAAAAACATCACAGATCCTTCAGACACATAAAGAACTCACAGGTACAATTCCCTTCAGACACATAAAGAGCACACAGGTACAATTCCCTTCAGACACATAAAGAGCACACAGGTACAATTCCCTTCAGACACAAAGAACTCACAGGTACAATTCCCTTCAGACACAAAGAACTCACAGGTACAATTCCCTTCAGATACAAAGAACTCACAGGTACAATTCCCTTCAGACACACAAAGAGCACACAGGTACAATTCCCTTCAGACACACAAAGAGCACACAGGTACAATTCCCTTCAGACACAAAGAACTCACAGGTACAATTCCCTTCAGACACAAAGAACTCACAGGTACAATTCCCTTCAGACACACAAAGAGCACACAGGTACAATTCCCTTCAGACACACAAAGAGCACACAGGTACAATTCCCTTCAGACACATAAAGAGCACACAGGTACAATTCCCTTCAGACACACAAAGAGCACACAGGTACAATTCCCTTCAGACACAAAGAACTCACAGGTACAATTCTTTTCAGACACATAAAGAACTCACAGGTACAATTCCCTTCAGACACATAAAGAGCACACAGGTACAATTCCCTTCAGACACATAAAGAGCACACAGGTACAATTCCCTTCAGACACATAAAGAGCACACAGGTACAATTCCCTTCAGACACATAAAGAGCACACAGGTACAATTCCCTTCAGACACATAAAGAGCACACAGGTACAATTCCCTTCAGACACATAAAGAGCACACAGGTACAATTCCCTTCAGACACAAAGAACTCACAGGTACAATTCTTTTCAGACACATAAAGAACTCACAGGTACAATTCCCTTCAGACACATAAAGAGCACACAGGTACAATTCCCTTCAGACACATAAAGAGCACACAGGTACAATTCCCTTCAGACACATAAAGAGCACACAGGTACAGTTCCCTTCAGACACATAAAGAGCACACAGGTACAATTCCCTTCAGACACATAAAGAGCACACAGGTACAGTTCCCTTCAGACACATAAAGAGCACACAGGTACAATTCCCTTCAGACACATAAAGAGCACACAGGTACAATTCCCTTCAGACACATAAAGAACTCACAGGTACAGTTCCCTTCAGACACATAAAGAGCACACAGGTACAGTTCCCTTCAGACACATAAAGAGCACACAGGTACAATTCCCTTCAGACACATAAAGAGCACACAGGTACAATTCCCTTCAGACACATAAAGAGCACACAGGTACAATTACCTTCAGACACATAAAGAGCACACAGGTACAGTTCCCTTCAGACACATAAAGAACTCACAGGTACAGTTCCCTTCAGACACATAAAGAACTCACAGGTACAGTTCCCTTCAGACACATAAAGAGCACACAGGTACAGTTCCCTTCAGACTCAATAGATCTGAAACCAAACTGTAACAATGTGTCTGTGGCTCTTTGTGTTTGATCAAAGATTAAAAGGCCGCTGTGTGTGATCCACTCTGCTCCTGCTGGACTTTGATGTGTGTGTGTGTGTGTGTGTGTGTGTGTGTGTGTGTGTGTGTGTGTGTGTGTGTGTGTGTGTGTGTGTGTGTGTGCGTGTGTGTGTGCCTGTGTGTGTGTAGTGGCTGTTGAGGATTCATTACATCCTCCCTCTTGAAGCTGTGATGTCACATCTTTCATACCTTCATGCTTCCACGTCTACACGGCCTAAACACCGGAGCTCCCACAGCAGTCAAACTGACGGCTTTGAGTTTTGAAAGTGTCGTTCGGCGTCTCATATGTTTTTGTTCTGTTTCTTTCTGTAGTTTATTTCTGTCCTCATTTTGACGGTCTTAAAACAGGATTTGCAGATACAACACATAACACATACTTCCTGCTCTTTATTGACAAAACAAACACAAGCCTTTATTCATAAACACAAACCTGTCTCCGTTTTTCTTCTTCTAATAAAACAATTGGAAATGTATCACGCACACAGAGCAAGAAAATCCTGGGTTCGAATCCCGGTCGGAACAGGGTCTTTCTGAGTGGAGTTTGCATGTTCTCCCCGTGCTTGCATAGGTTTCCTCCAGGTACTCCGGTTTCCCCTACCACTAAAAACGCACACTAGGTTAAATGGGTTGAATTAGATGGGTTCCCAGACGCTGTTACTACGGCGACCACTGCTCCTGACGTAAGCCTTTGGGGCATCAGGATCTGGGTCAAATGCAGAGGATGAAGTGCGCTACGGGGATCTATAAAGTGCACCTTTACCTTTACACTGCAAAAAACGATGAAAAATAAGTCAAAAATGATTGAGCCTTAAAATACGTTTTTCCAACGGGACAAAGCAAAATGATCTTGTTTTAAAAAGATACAGAAATGTCTTGGAATGAGGAAGTAAAGCAACAGTTCTTAAACTAAATGTCTTTGTCCCGTTGGAGAATCTAGTTTTTTGAGTCTCGATATTTACTTTAAGCTTGGATCTGAAGTCTCTCCCTTTGGGGCATCTCTGTCACTTTCACATCAAACTGTATCTCAGCCATTTTGGAAAGGCCTATAATTAAAAAACTAGGGGTTACAAAAGATAGGTTGTGGTCTTAGAAAATAAAACACATAATGCATTGCTTTCTTCAGGGTTCAGAGTCAGAATGAGCTCAGGTTAAAACAAAAACCACTCGACCCAAGCAAATATTTCCTCATTTTTTTTTTTTTTTTTTTTGCAGTGCAGCGACTTTCTGGGTTTCACTTTCCAAACCCAGAAATAAAATCAGAAACAGTAAAGTCTGTATGAAGTCCACACTCAGGGATTAGGATGTGGAGAAGTTTAAAGCAGCGTTAAGTTTTACCAACATTTGAGCGTCGGACAGAGCACTGTTCACTGCCAACTTACCAAGACACGGCGTCCTCCAAAACCAACACATGGAACTCACAGACACTGGTCAGAAACTTACTATTATCATGGGGGGATTTTGATTCAGCCTCCTGCAGGTGAAAGCCAGATCCTGTCAGACCTCTGAAGCTAAGCAGGGCAGGGCCAGGTTAGCGCTGTGATGGG